AATACTATACTTAAGTGTTGAAGACTATACTGATATAGGAATTTTCTTTGACATACAGTAAAGTTTTTTTCTCGTAGTAATGCTGGTTTATAATTCATTTGGTAAAGCCAATATTACTACTGCCGCGAAACCATCCCATTACACACTGAAGATGTTTTTTAGATAATCTACATATATTCTTATACTACTTAGCAAAGTACTATACTATAATATATAGTACTGAACCAAAAAATATGTTTTTCTTGGCTTGTTCGTGTGTATCAGTCACATTGACTAATTCATTTCAGGAAAATCTGTAACTATTATCTCTACCATTTATACTTATTACAACAAATTAAACTAAAATTTAAATATTGTTCTTAACTTGCTTAACAGACAAGAAATCTTGATAATTATTACTTTTCGTCATGGCAACTATGATATTATAGCGTAGGGGAACCGAAGGCAAAACGGACCCTGCAGGCAAAACGGAGCGCCTGTATATTTCTCCTATTAATGACGACATCTATGGGAGAATTCATAAATTAATTTCTTATTCGGTTAGATCCCGCGGACATTTAGTCATTTCCCGGTGAAGTGCACAGGTGCCCTTTTGTCAAGGTAAGTAGTTTTTTTCTATCGTTGATCTAAAATTTGATATTTTTCTGTGTGCTGCATTTTTGTTTGAAATAACATACAAAAATGTTGTAGTGCTTACCTGAAATAGCAATATATTGGCTTTTTAAAATTAGTTTACCGGATTGTTTACGTGTAACATAACCCCAAAGTTTTAATAACATTTTGTGCTTGCTGAAAAGGCAAAACGGACCGGGCAAAACGGACCAGCTGTACCGTTTTGCCTTCTATGGTCCATTGTGCCTTCTAGATTGTGCCTTGTGATTGCCTTATTAGAAAAACCGGTGGCGAGTGGTGGGAGGTTATATGGTCTCTTGTTTTACTTTTACTGAAAATCTGCTTTTGTTTGTTGTCGGCTAATACCGAAACCAATGCCACTAAAGTCGATCCTCAGCCAAGTTGTTCTCGGACTGGTAATTTAATTCAATCAATAGACTCCTTAAATAAAAATGGCTTTTTGGTATCACCTGAACTAATTTTGCCCGTACCACGGACAAAACAAATTAAGAGAACTACACGGAAGAGAGGTAAAACCACAATTATTACTTCGTCGCCATACCAAAAAGAGCTGGAAACCGCACAAGTTAATGCAAATCAAGTTAAAAGGAAAGTTACTTTTGGTGATTCTGCTGGGGTGAAGAATAAAAAGAAAGTAAGAAAGGATGCAAAGAAGGAAGTAGCAAAAGAAGTATCGGAGTCAAAACGTCACGTACAGATATCATCTGATGAGGACAAAGATGCGCAGTGTTTGTACTGCCAATATTTTTATTCTGAATCTACAGAAAGTTGGATTCGGTGTTCAGTTTGTGAATTATGGGCACACTATTCATGCGCTGGTATAGACAGTACTGACATTGAAACTGATTTTGTGTGCGAAAACTGTCAGTAATATTTATTGTTCTGTTTATTTATTTTTAAATGTTTAATTCGCCTATAACCCTTTATTTTGTTATTATATAATATATTTTTCACCTTGGTCCATTTTGCCTGCTACAATGTACCATTTTGCCTTCTAGTGCAGGCAAAACGGCCCATTACAGTTGTTTTTTGTTATTGTTTTTTTTAACTAGTCTTAGTTATTTTTTTTGCCGTGTGTTTATTTTTTATAAACTGTAAAACTTAGAGTTACAATTATGTTTTTTCCCACGAATAAAGATTTATATTTGACAAATTTATTTTCCATTTTCCTTAAAGGTGCCATTTTGCCTTCGGTTCCCCTATTGTATTAAAAATATGGATAAAAATACAAAAAATTGGAATAAATCGGAAACTATTAAAAATAGGTATAAGACATACTTAATAAAAGTTGAAGAGTTTTGTAAAATCTATCAGAAAAAATAATAATATATAGGGTGTACTATTTAAAAAATTTGAAATTTCTTAATTTTAAGTAGTTGAAATTCATAAATATATTTTGACCACCCTTTTTCTATATCTCTATTAAATTCTCCTACCAAATTTTAGTTGTTCAACTTCAGAAACAATGCCATCACTGATAATTTTTTATAACACTGCAATCTAACATTTGTTTAAACAAGTTTAAATATTACAAAAACTATAATTTTAGGTATATAACATTATATATAAAAAAGTTATGGAATTTTACGCAGAATCTAAAAATAAAATAAAAAACAGGGTGTTGTATTTAAAAAAAACTTATGTTATATTCGCCAAACTTTTTGAAGGACCCTGTATACTCTATAATAATTTCAAGATGTGTATCTTAACCGTCCCTATAACTTTGATATTTAATATTTTTTTGTAAACCAAATGAAACAAATGAGATAATGGACTTTACTCTATCGTTGACTCACCCTGTACAGAGCGATACATAAAAAGGTATTGAACATTGTAAAATCAGCAATATATTTCTAAAAAATATAGTTACGTTATAGGTACTCAGTTTTACAGCAAACAAGTTTGTTTTTCTAACGAAATATCTTTAGTGCACCCGCCATAAACCTTTTTTGGTCTAGAAATTGGTAAAAATTGGCAAAAATAGTTTTACAACAGCAATGGCTTTATATTGAGGGCGAATAAAGGCAAAAAATAGCAGAGACGCCGCCTTGGGAGATGTAACGGTAGTTTCTCTAGCGAAAGGTTGGATTCGTTTATTGCAATTCTAGGTAAAAATGGAACATTTGCCGAAACGTTTTTTAAGACCAGCGACTCTAAAGACCCAAATAAATGGACCTTTATCTCGTCCCTTTATTAGGTCATCGCATAGGTACTTAACTGGACTTTCTTAGTTATAAAACATCAATAAATAGTAGCTTTGCTCAAAATATTGCACAAAATGTATTTTCAAAATATTTTATTTACCTCATTATGTTTTCTGTTATGTATAATTACTAATATAGTACCCGAAACAACATTTTCAACATTTTCTTTTGCTGTAAAAACCTCATAGGCATATTTCTGGGATTGAAATGTATACGAGATGCGTCTCAAAAGTGGCTAACCCCTATAACTTTTTTATTTATTCAGATAAAAATACGAGATTGTGTATGTTAGTATATGACATGAAATAGGATTGAATGACGTATTCAATTATTTTTGGCCACTTCCTGTTTCACGGGAAATGACTCCCTCGGTATATTTTTACTTTAGTCAATAGAAAATGACACTCGAATAATTCGTAAAAAAATGCTTTTTCCAAATATGCTAATGTGCCACCCTCGTTTCACTTGAAAAAATTTAGATATGATTAAAAATACGATTTGGGCATCTTTTAACCGGATAGGAAAAGACACGAAAAACATTAGATGATCAAAACTATTTTTTTAATGCTCCTTGATTAAAAATTAGTGTTTTTAGCACAGCGATCTAGATAAAAATTTAAAAGGATTTTTTATAAGCGAAAATGTCAAAAGTTGACATATAATATGTCATTCTATTGAGAGTGTCATTTTCTATCGAATAAAGTAAAATGAAACGAGGGTTTTTAAAAATTAAAAGTAGTAGTAATTTCCAGTAAACAGGAAGTGACCAAGAACAATTGAATTAATCAATCAATCCTAATTTATGCCATATACTAACATATCAAGTCTCGTTTTTTTATTTAAAAAAATAAAAAACAAATAAGGGTGAGCCACTTTCGAGACGCACCAGGTATATCTGAGTTATTATATTAGAGTTTTAAATAGCCTACTAGCAGTACTATTTGAAATAATTACAAAATTTAATAAAAAGCGTAATGATAAAATAACTGAGTAGCATAATTTCTGAGATAATTTCTCTAATACATACCAAACATTGTAAGAAAATAATAACAATAATTAAAATTTGCAAACTCAAAATATTAAATAAAGACATAACTCCAAAAACTAATTAATTATTAAATTACGGATCATAACAAACAAAAAAAAATGCAACTGACCGAGCAGCATAATTTATTTAATAATTAATCAATGTAAGTAAATAATAACAAAAATTAAAATTCGCAAACTCAAAATATTAAATAAAGAAATAAATAACAAAAACTAATTAATCATTAAATATGGATCATAACAAACAGAAAATAAATGTTACGAAATTTAATAAAAAGCGTAATGATAAAATAAATGAGCATCATAATTTCTCTAATACCAAATCAACGTAAGAAAATAATAACAAAAATTAAAATTCGCAAACTCAAAATATTAAATAAAGAAATAATAACAAAAACTAATTAATTATTAAATATGGATAATAACAAAAAAAAATGTTACAAAATTTAATAAAAAGCGTAATGATAAAATAAATGAGCATCATAATTTCTCTAATACCAAATCAACGTAAGAAAATAATAACAAAAATTAAAATTCGCAAACTCAAAATATTAAATAAAGAAATAATAACAAAAACTAATTAATTATTAAATATGGATAATAACAAACAAAAAAAATGTTACAAAATTTAATAAAAAGCGTAATGATAAAATAAATGAGCATCATAATTTCTCTAATACGAAATCAACGTAACAAAAAAATAACAAAAATTAAAATTCGCAAATTCAAAATATGAAATAAAAAAATAATCACCAAAACTAATTAATTATCAAATATAGAGCATAACAAACAGCAAAAAAAATGGGCTCAATCCATTTCACTAGGTCAAAATCTAACGGTAAGTTCTAGTGTTTCCTTTACGGTAAACACCCGCAACATCAGGTACAAATAAAACCTAACGGAACCACCTTGGAATTCTAGCCAAAAATCGACCGCAACATTTGCAAAACTGTCAAAATTTCGGCTATTCACACGGCGGGCAGCGTAGGCGGGCCCTAGTACCTTTCTCCGGACCTTATTGGTCAGCAGATAAGAACTTCGCTATTTAGATAGTATTGAAATTGTCATTTCGATCTTCTTGGACTTGTTTTTGAACTAGTTGATGCCTAGAGCTCAACGAGCTATAGTTCTTAGCCCGGCTACCTTAGCGATTTGACTAAAAGTGGTTTTAGTTTATGTGTCGGTATTAGATATATAGGTGACTCTTGGACAAGAACTATTCTTATATAAACATTGTTTTATTTGTATGGTTCCAGTGAAAACCAGTGCTTGTGTGGATATAATGTCAATGAAAGTAAGTATAACTTAATACTATTAAGAGTAAATTGGACCAATTTTTTTTTCTTCAAAAACACATTGTATTTTTTACTCTAAATATATTTTATTCAAATTTCGTACACATTAATATTCGTTACAAATTATGGAATATCCGTCACTTGTTTTGTCCAACGTTATATTGAGTTTTATATTAACTTACATACATTATAAGATGAAACAAGTTAAGTCCCAGATTATAAAAACAAACGCAAAAAACATAGGAGCTGTTCTACACTATTAAGTTTTACCTGTTAATATTACCGGTTCAGTCAAAACGTATCAAGGAAAACATTGTGTGTGGACGGAAAAACAGAGTTCGTGTTACTTAAACTGAATTGAGAAGGAAGACTGCAATGTGTGGGATATTTTAATACTCCATACGAACTTTTACTCGAATATCTTTGGTGAAGGTCTTCATTAGAAGCTTCTAGAGAACTACAATATTTAGATCGGATATTGTTTCACAACATTGTTTCACGCCCCTATAACTTTTTTATATTTTCTGATAAAAAAACGCGATTTGGTATGTTAGCATATCACATAAATTAGTACTGATTGACGTAATGAATTCGTTTCGATAACTTCCGTTTCACCGATTTATACAGGGTGTTTCAAAACAAATGCGAAAAACTTCAGGGGGTGATTCCTTGTTCAAAATAAAGGGTAGTTTGCTTCATAAACTTTGGGTCAAAAGTCAACCATTAGGGAGATATCGCGGTACAAAGATGGCGGAAAAATAATGTTCTTATTTTTTATCTTGAAAACGAAAAGAGATAGGCTAATGAAATTTTATGGAAGCATTACTGTTATGAAAACACACATTCTGGTAATTTTTTCAGTTTTTAAGATGAGTGGAAGTGGTTGAAATAAACTACCCCTATCATTCTTGTTAACGAAATTTAAAGAAAAATCTTATCAAACACATACAAAAAAATTAATTTGGATAGTTTAGTTTGTTTAGAAACTTTTTTATCTCTTGTATTTTTTTTATAAACCTCACCGATTTGAAATTAAAAAATAAAATGTAAAGCATTACATGTCAGGACTAAAAATATTTTTAGATTAAGAATCTAGTGATAATAATGATAATAATAATAATCTAGATAATAACGTATTGCAGTAGGGTAATGTCAAATAAAACAATATTAGAAACATCCTAAAAAGTGACAGCGGCCGACTAGATTTTTTCCTAAAAAATTACATCTGCCCACTAGATTCTTTATCTAAAAATGTTTTTGTCCTGACATGTAATGCTTTACATTTTATTTTTAATTTCAAATCGGTGAGTTTTATCAAAAACACAAGAGAAAAAAATTTCTAAATAAACTAAACTATCAAAATTATTTTTTTGCATGTGTTTGATAAGACTTTTCTTTAAATTTCATTAACAAGAATGATAGGGGTAGTTTATTTCAACCCCTTCCACTCATTTTAAAAAGTGAAAAATTACCAGAAAGTTTTCATAACAGTAATGCTTCCGTAAAATTTCATTAGTCTATCTCTTTTCGTTTTCAAGATAAAAAATAAAAACATTATTTTTCCGCCATCTTTGTACCGCGATATCTCCCTAATGGTTGACTTTTGACCCAACGTTTATAAAGCAAACTACCCTTTATTTTGAACAAGGAATCACCCCCTGAAGTTTTTCGCATTTGTTTTGAAACACCCTGTATAATTATTGCTTAGTGATATTTAATGATTATATTATTACCAAACGATACTATTTTCACAATTAGCTTTGCGTATTAACTAATTATTAAATTTAAACTAGATATATATACAGGGTGCTACAAATTCGAGGTAGGAGCATTAGTATCTCGGAAACCGTAATAGATACGAATATCGTTAAATTGGCTCAAATTACTAACTACACTAATATGACATAAAAAAAGTTTCAAACATGTCAAGGATTGCTGAGTTATTTTGAAAAAAAATGGATTTTTTTGAAAATCAATTTCATTTTTTCCTGTCGTTACCTTTTAGAAAATCAATAGACTAATTGCATATTCTCATAATTACGTTATTAAGGCTACCTGATAGCATTTTTAGATTTTCAAATTAATTGAATATTTTTGAGATACATAAGTCAACATAATTTATTTAAATACGGACCTGCATTTTTTATTTCAGGTATTGAAAAAATTCGCTCTCTAGCTCTAGTGCAACGATATGCTACACTGAATGCAGGTCCGTATTTAAAAAAAAACCTGGCCAATGTATCTCAGAAAATATTAGCTAATTTGAAAATGAGATAGCCCTCAGAATATACTCTGAGATAGCTACTATAAAGTGGCTAGAATATGTAATTAGTTTTTCGATTTTCTAAAAAGTAACGACAGGAAAAAATAAAATTGATTTTCAAAAAAAAATGTTTTTTAAATCTCAGAAATCCTTGAATTTTTTAAACTTTTTTGATAGCCTGTTGTAAGGTGGACTAATAGGAATAATAACTAATGGCTATAATACTATATAATTATAAATTAGGTAAATATATAATTCATTAATTTTATTTTTATTTTAATTTTATTGTGATTAATAAAATTGCGTTTATCTCATGAAGGAGGCCAAATGCGACAAAATATCAAGAGATAACTTTTAACTAGCATTAAACGGCCTAAGCAATTTTGATATCAAAAGAAAAAAGTCAATATTATTCATTAATAAATTATTTTATTCTTTAATACATCTCTAAACTGAAACTGTTGTTTCAGATGGAAGTGCTTGACCTTAGCGTCCGGAAACATTCCCAAGCTCCCATCCGAAACGCCTGTTCCCCAGGCTACATGGACTACCACATGTACCCTAACAACGCATCTCTCATGTCATGGCAGTATTATCATCAATCGCTGCAGCGTTTTGGCGAACCCTGCCATACCCTTGCTCAGCCTTCTGTAAGTCCTGGTACAGTTCTCAGACCAAGTCCAGTAAATTCGGGCACTTCCGCCGAATGCGACTTGCCAGAAAGATCGCCCGATTCCTCGCTAGCTAGTTCTAGCGATCTAGAACGGAGCAGTAGAGGAAATTTGGCTATTAAGCGACCCTTTAAGCTGATATCTTCGATTACGAAAAATGCTGCGCCGTTACTGACCTCTATTGATACGGATGAAAATACCACTTACGAGTACGAACAATTTAGGAAGAAAGTATTGTCGCAGTACGACTCAAAGCAGAAAAACGAATCCAACAAGAACATGAGGCGAACTATAGCGACAAATGCCGAACGAAGCAAAGATCCAGAGTACGTGGCGAAGCGTAGGAAAAACAACGAAGCTGCGAAGCGATCTCGAGAAGCTAGGAAAGCCAGAGAAGATGAATTGGCGATCAGGGTGGCTTATCTGGAGCAGGAGAATATGAAACTGAGGTGGCGGCTTGCGTTAGTGGAAAAGGAAAAGAAGTTATACACGCGGCAAATCGAGTGTGTATAACTTTCTCCAAGTTTATATGTTACGGACAATGATGTATACTGGGCGTTTACGATAATACCGGGCTAATAAGGAAAGAACCCAATTTAATCGGATAATGTATGTTGAAAAAATTCACTCACCGGCACGAAAAAAAGGGCACATTAAAATTTTTTCAGAGTTGCCAATATTTACTATTTTACGTCTTTTCATCAGTCATTTCTAATTTACTTGCGAGTCATTACAGTATATAAGAATTGAATTTATATTTATTTATTTTAATTATGGTTTTGTTATGCATATGAAGTTTGAAATTTTTATAATCATATACTAAAATATATTAAAAAAAATGTAACAAATAAACATTCGAACCTTTTTTTGCAACAAAGATTATAATCGGAAGTCAATCAATATTTTCTACTTCCTCTGCGATTTCTTATTCACGATCGATATGGTTCGTGAAATATCTAACACGTTTGATTTGTTTATTCACGATCGGTGCGTCTTTCGTATTGATTCGTTTCTATTCTTCTTTCACGAATATAATGTTGACATTGGGCATGGTCTACGAAAGTGTGGGCCATCAGTGTCCACGAAAGTGTGTCAACAGTATATTCGTGAAAGACGAATAGAAACGAATCAATACGAAAGACGCCACGATTGTGAATAAGCAAATCAAACGTGTTAGATATTTCACGAACCAAATCGATAGTGAATAAGAAGTCGCAGAGGAAGTTGAGGTAAAAAAGTCATATTTTGCACTATTCTCGCATTAGAAAATATTGATTGACCGTTTATAATCACTGTTGCAAAAAAAGGTTCCAATGTTTATTTGTTACATTTTTTTTAAATATGATTATAAAAATTAACTTCATATGCATAACAAAACCATAATTATAATAAATAAATATAAATTCAATTTTTATAAACAATAATGAGTCGGAAGTAAATTAGAAATGTCTGATGAAAACACGTAAAATAGTAAATATTGGCAACTCTGTGAAGAGATATTGGCATGAATGCTACAATTAATTATTCTCACTCGTCTTTTAATGTCGTAATATTTGGCACATTAGTGTACAGGGTGGTCGAAATTAGTCTGTTTCAACAGGGAAAACCTATTTCCTGACTAGGTAGAGCAAAACCGACATAGATGTCATGGGCTCGATTTATGAGACACGTTTAATGGCGTAAACCGCCTGTTGATATTTTCACTGCCAACTGAGATACGGGGTCTTTTTGAATTTTTTACCATTTTTAAAATTGCCTATAACTTTTTTATTTCGCGGAATAATAAAATTCTGTAAAAACATTCTTAAGGCACTTTTTTAAGCACAATCCAGTGGCGTAGTCAGTTTTTTTCCATGCTTGCTCTTTTTGTCAAAATCTATCTTTGTATATGTATAACTTCTTCATTGAGTTCTGTCGGTCCGGGCATTAACGATTTTCACCATACAATATTAGGAAATATTGGAATACAACAACAGCTAACATTTCCTCAATGTCTCGGTTAACCATTTCTTACTTTGATATTCAATTTTAAAATCAAAATGTCTTGATTTTAATAATTAAATATCAAAGTCATATTTTTAAATTTTAATACGAATTTGATTGCTTTTAATGTTGAAAGCAATCAAGTTAAAATTTAAAAATATGGAATCACGACGAAAAAAGGTTGAAATCAAAGCAATCAGAGCAATCAAAACTAAATCGTGCAACTTCGTGTCGACGGCATAGTAAATTATCAGCAGCGAATAGACGCTTGAAATGGCAGCCGATTAAAAAAAATGCCGATTGCACAGTTAAACAAACACATTATCTTATTTCTAATCTTAAGCCGCGTCCAAGCTACTCGAACAAAACGTTCGCGAACATATATAATTCACACTATATACTCGTAGCAGCAGGTCGTAAACGACGGCACAGCCCATCGCATCGGTCCCGAGGACTGAGGTGTGGGGAAGAATGCGACATCCATGTTTGCTCTATAGATCTAGGATGCATTTAGGTAGTCGCTGTTTTTTCGAGTGCCCGGATTTCGAGTGCAAGCATTTTATTAAATAAATTAACCGGTAAATAGTTTTTAAAAAGAACTTTTGTCGTTGAAGAATCAATATTTAGCAGGCGGAGGGTCACAGGGGTCTTTTGGTAGATTATTCGTTATAGTGTATTTTTAAGACCTGTATTCATTCTCAGCCGATTCTACCAGGTGTTTCTCAAAAGGGGCTCACTTTTTTACTATTTTATTTTTTCAGATAATACAACGAAATTTGGTTTGTTAGTATATGACATAAATCGGGATTGATTGATGTATTCAATTACCTTCGATCGCTTCCTGTTTCACCGGAAATGACTACAACTTTGTATTTTTAGATTGTATCCTAAGTACTTTTTTACTTTATTTGATAGAAAATGACATTCTGAATAGAATGACATATCATACGTCAATTTTAGAAAATTCCAATTAAATAAAAATAGCATTTTAAATTTCAATCTAGAGTGCCAAGACTGAGTTAAAACTATTAATTTGTAATCAAAGAACTTTGGAAACATATATTTGATCATGTAATTTTTTTTTCGTAAATCATGGCCTTTCATGGCTGCTTAAAAGATGCCCAAATTTTTAATGATAACTCAAATTTTTCAAATGGTACGAGGCTGGCTCAGCATATTTGGAAAAAGCATTTTTTATGAATAATTTGGTACCACATATTTGGTATTTGGAGTAAAATTGTTGTTACGTTTATTTATGGCCATTTTTAAATTGAAAATGTCAAAAATTGACATATAATATATCATTCTATTTAGACTGTCATTTTCTATCATATACGGAAAAAAATACCGAGGGTACCATTTAAATCAAAAGTTGTTGTCATTTCCGGTGAAATAGGTAGTGACCGAAAATAAATGAAAACGTCGATCAATCCTGATTTATGTCCTATACTAACATACCAAATCTCGTTTTTTATCTAAAAAATTAAAAAAGTTATAGAAGTGAACCACTTTTCAGAAACACTCGGTATATTTATTTCTAAAAATGTAATGGTAAAATTTCATTTCCGGTGTCAAACTTCCTATTAAGTAGTAATTTTTAATTTCAGAATCCCATAATAATTCCGGTTTTTAATAAAAATAATCATAAAGGTCTATATTAACAAAAAAGAAATTATATGGACGAAGTCTAGCTACATAGCTATTCACTCTCAACCCACAATAAAATTAAAATTATAAAATGTTTTCTTTGTGTAAACAAATTAGTTGTAAATGTTTTTCACGATCCCAGTCAATAACTGCGTCTCCCATTGTCGAATACTCGGTAAAAAATAAAAATCACAGATGAACGCCCGAGACCCTTCATATCCGAAATGCACGCCGTTCGCTCCTTTTGATTTACCGACACCCGTCGGAAAAAGAACGCGCGCGCTCTAACATAGGCAGACGCACGCTCTGGCGTACAAGCTAGCCGTTCGGCGCTCCGCCCTCTTAAATAGGCCTAGGCTATAGGGATGGGAAGCCCCGGTTCATTCCCCGTGACCCGTGTCTCACCAGGTCATTCATTGAAATGACCCGTTCATCATGATTCGTTCATATGAATGATCGCTTTACTGTGTTTCAGTGTAACTTATTCTGAACATTCGAAACTCGAAACGCTGAATGAAATGATGCATGAATGATTTTATCTTAATCATTATATGAAGAAATATTATCGCGATCGCGATGACGCGATGCCTAGCTTGATTAACTAATAATGTGAAAACAATATAAGACGTAAATTATGGTAAATTAGATATTAAAATGCGGCTCGGATGTTTGCATTGATCATTGAACGGATCGGGGTTTAATTCGAACGACGCAACGCGACGCGATACGTGAAAAGAGTTCGTTTGGTTCGTTTTTCATTTTAATCTTCAATGATCCGATCGTTGTTTTAGGTTCAAATTCAGTAAGACACGCAGGAGAGGATTTTGTGTTTCGGGTCATATGATTGATAGGGTCACGTGAGGTGACCGAGTCAATCACGGGTCTTTCTAAAGATTCGATCATTGTGAACGAATCATTCACAAACGACACATCTCTACTAGGCTAGCTGTACTTGTTGGCTTTATTATTTATAAATCTACCTATCTCACAATTTTCACTTAGTATCTGTTTAATTATATGTGTTCGCGAACATTTTGTTCGAGTAGCTTGGACGCGGCTTTAGAACCTCGCCCGCATTATATCAGACATTAAATTAATCAACGCCCGAGCAAAGTGGTTAAATTGTTAGTTTTTCTGCAGCTTATCAATATTGTCCGAATTCATTGGATTTTTCCGTTAATAGTCGGTCAGTTAGAACAATTTCCAACATAAGTGAGCATATAAAACATCGATCAATCATTAAAGTTAAATGCCGGTTTTACATCGCTGTCCGTAACATATACAAAATTCTAGTCAATATTGTAAACAACAAGATTTGGATATATCAGACTAAATTAAATGGCTTTTGGTGTCCTTTAAGCTTCATTCTGAACCTTGCAATTAGCGTAAAAGTTTGTTCCCCCTATTTCAATGTTAACATTTAAAACGTCAAAATTAGTGGTAGCCATTTTCAATTAGTAGAAAAGTTAACAAACTTTTGACTTTTCCACTAATTTTATTTCAAAATTTGCGAAGAATGTCATTTTAGCCTTTTATTATCATCCGTCAAGAGAAATTGTCGCTAGAAATCAACAGTTGATAGTTTTATAAGCCTAATATTTGGCTTTTTCTGTGGATACAACTGACTACCGCAAGCTGTTGCTAGGATATTTATTCTATTAATTTTAATTGTGAATCATCGTAAACTAAAAAGTACCTATAAAGTGTAATTGAAACCATTTATTTATTCTACTAACTGCGAGGTTCCGAATGAAGCTTTAATCTGAGAGATTTTTAATTATTATATTAGGTCTTTTTATAAAAACCTTCAAAGACTCAATACAATTAAATAATGTTTATAGCGTTGTAACGGGTTCATTTCTTGAAAAGACTTCTTTCGTTATAGGTAAAAATTAAAACAAAGGACAAACTAAAAATAATCACATAGGACAAAAAATAAAAATAATCAATAAAAACTGAAAATAATCACATTGATTATGCGAAAACGGAAAGATGTAGAAACAAAATATTTTATCGGTATATGTGGGAAGGCAATGTGCATAATTTAAAATTATTTTGAAATGTACA